GGGTGCCCAGCACCCCTCTGCACACCGGTGGGTGCGGGAGGTGGGTGCTTGTTTACAGCCCGGCTGCGCCCACCCACTGGGGTCCCTGCAGGGATCAGGGAACCGTGGCAGCGCCTGGGCAAGATCTGGGTGACTTTTTTTGGGTGCCGGCTCTGTTCCGGGGTGGGGGGACACCCCCGTATGCCGCCAGTAAACAGGATACGAGCGAGCTGCGGCGGGGAGACGGCGGCAGCAGCATCCCAGCCCCGGTGACAGCCGGTACGTGCCCACCGAGACCCCCCACCCAGCCCTGGGTGCAGGGTGCTGGTGGGTGTCGTGGGGTCCCCCTGCCTCGCCTGGGGAGCAGGGTGCTGGGGAGGGGGATGTTCAGGTTGTGGGAGGGGGTCCCTGGTGCATGATGGGGGGGGGGGTCCCTGGTGCTGGTTTGGGGGGGGGGTCCATGGGGGGGTTGGCACCCAGCCCACCCCCAGCAGCACCAGTGTGCTCAGATCCTGAGCTGGGTCCTGGGCTGGGGTCCCCAGTGCCAGGGGATGTCTGGCACCCCCCCCCAGGGTTGGGACGGGGGCACCCACGGGGCTGGGGACTGGACTGAGACAGGGCCACCTGTGGGGCAGGGACAGGGTGACCCACAGGGCTGGGATAAAGGCACCCGTGGGGCTGGGACAGGACCCTTTGTAGGGCTGGGGACGGGACCACCCGTGGGACAGGGACAGAGTCGCCTTTGGAGCCGGGGACAGGGCCACTGGTGTCCAAGCCCCACAGTGGAGGCGGAAGCCCCCCCAGCCATGCCGGGGTGTGGCTGTGCTGGTGCTAATGTCCCAGCGGGGTGGCTGGGGCAGTGGGGGGGACTGGGGGGGCAGCAGGACCGATCCTGCCTCACTGCTGCTGCAATTTCCTGCCCTCAGCATCCCGCGCCAGGCAGTGAGCGCTTTCGCAACACTGGAGCGAGGAAGGGCAACAGTGAGGCAACGCCGGGGAAGTGGGGCAAGAGCCCCTGCTGCATCCTCTGCCCTGGGAGCTGTGATGAGCTGAGTACGGTCTCAGCCTGGTTCGGTCTCAGCCTGGTTAAGTCTCAGCCTATCGTGGGGGCAGCCAAGCCCCCTTTTGCCCCCCATCTCAGTGCTGTGGCACCCAATGAAACCCGTGGGAAAGCAGGCAGGGGGCAGAGCCAGTCCTGAGCAAACACCCTTTGCAAACATGGGCTGCAGGCAGGATCCCGGCAGTGGGCAGGGCTGGCCCTGGCACTGGGCCGGCAGCAGGGCCCGGCAGCAGGAGCGGCAGGGTTTCCCTCAGCCTGCCTATGGGATTGCCCGTGCTCCTTCCCTTGGCACCCTCGGCATCATCCCACCCCTCGGTTTGTCCTCATTGGGGGTCCCGGGGGTGCTTTGGGGTTCAATGTCTGTGTGTGTGCATGGCGGGGTTGCATGCTGAGCTTCCACTCCATCTCTTTGCAGAGGGTCAGGATGATTCCCACCCCAAAGCGGCCCCAAAGTCCCTTTCCAGATGCTGGCATCGCTGGTGCATGCCCGACACGCTGAGCCCACCCACCCACAGCCCTCTGCTTCTCAGCATCCGCCTAGACCAGCACCCCGGGGTGCCCTCACTGGCCCCCCCAGCCCCACCATGGCACTGGAGCTGGGGGCTGAAGCGCTGCTGGACCTGAGCTTCCTGACAGAGGAGGAGAGGCGCGCCATCACCGAGGTGCTGCGCCGCGACTGGCAGCTCCGCCGGCGTGAGGAGGGGCGCATCAGGTGAGGTGGGGGTCCCCTGCTCAGTGTCACCCTCGGGGACAGTGTGAAACCCCCCCCCCCCAGGAGCAGCCAGCCTGGGATCCCCTTTCCCCTGTGGATGGGGGCACCCATTGAGCCCAGCAGAGTGAAGTCCCGCAGTGGGTGACACCGGCATTAGGGGTCCCAAACCCCCTGGGAGAGGGTGGCTGGTGTCCCCAACGCCACTTGTGGTGGCTCCATCAGCCTCTTGGGAAGCGGTGATGGGGACAGCGGCACAGGGGTTGATGGCAGCACCGGGGTGGTGGGGGAGCCAACACCACCCTCCCACTGCCAGCAAGCTCCGCAAGTCGGTGTCGGACCCAGCGCGGCTGAGGACCCTCACCGGGGACTGGTTCTGCGATGCCCGTGCCCAGCGCCACCGGCACCACCTGGGCTCCGACCTCGTCCGTGCCTCCATCCGCCGCAGGAGGCGGCCCCGGGGTAGGTGAACGATGGGGATGTGGGTGGGGGGGGGATGGGGGGGGGGGGGGATGCTGGGAGCCGGGGCTCAGCCTGCTGAGGTCCCCGATGTCCCCAGGAGCGGGGGACCTGGAGTGTGGCCCCAGCCTTGGCGAGCTGGAGGCCATCGGCGAGCCACTGGTGGAGGAGAAGGAGGATGAGGATGGTGTGGAGGAGCTGGAGGAAAGGTGAGGGTGGGGCGGGGGGGGGGGGGGGGGTTTTCCCCAGGG